CATTCTAGACTTTAGGAAAGCTGTGTTGACTAAACACATCTAGGAACCAAACAGTTGATCAGGTTATACTCTTTGTCTATTTAGTCCAGTACTGTCTACATTTATTGTAGTGGTTCTCCCACGGTAACAAGTAGACTTGAAGCATCACCTTCTCTTTGACTTCTTTTAATTAAAGACACCATCAACTGAACCTGTTGTCTTCTGGATGCAAAGCTACAGCCCTAGACTAGCAAACTTTAGTTACTTGGACAACCTAAAGGACAGCAGTAACGAAGGACTCTTTTCTTCCACTCTCTAAGTATATGTGAATATGTAAACCTGAGGGAAAAGTAATTCAGTGGGCTCTTGGTATCTGCTGGGGTTTGGTTCCAGGATGCCCTATGGATACATAAGTCTGTGCTCCCTGCTCAATCCCATTAAACACAATGGCATAGTAAAATTGTGTCCCTTATATAAAATGGCAAAATCAAGGTTTGCTCTTTGGAATTTATATTTTTTGGAATATTTTTAACCCATAGATGCTTAAATCCATGGATAAAAATCTGTGGATATGAAGGGTTGAAGTACCTGATATTATGCTTTTTGGCATGTAAGACTTCTGTCTTCCAATACTGCAGTACACCACAGAGTGTTTTAGGAGATTACTTCATGGGGCTTTTAAACTGTCATTAGAGCCAGGAAAAAAGTGGCTTTGGTGATACCTACCACATGATGATACCTCCAACCTGTGGCTGCTGGGTCCCCCCCCCCCCAAATTGTGGTTAGGGAGTTTCTTTTCATTGATAGGGGAGACCCATCAATGACCTTCCAATCATTCTAGTTCTCAGATGCAAAACATTGCTGGTTGGGCAGTTGCAATATTGGCAGTCACATGGTGTTAGTGTCTCTTCCTCTCTCTGTGTCCCTCCTCCCCTTCACTAACTCCAAACAAGTTGATTGCCATTATTATTATTATTATTATTATTATTATTATTATTTCCTATTTCTCTCTCTTTTCAATTAACTCACAGTAGCAGAGCTCTGGAATTGCATGAAAAAGTAAAAATAAAAATAAAAAAACATGAAAGGCATGCTGGGTAGGGCATAGGACAGGGAGGCAGGATTAAGGAGGAGTCAGGAAGAAAGTGTGATGGCAGCATTAGCTCCAGATGCACAATTGCAAAGATTATAATAATGGCAACCAGTATGTTTCCTTCTTTATTTGTAAATGATGTGATTACAGTGAGAATGGGGCTCATGTGGCAATGTTAAGAGTTATCTAATGACACCCTTCCTCCCTAATTCCACAGAGCAATCTGCCATCACTCCCCTCTGACCTGAAGTTCTCTAGATTGTTTCCAAGCCTGCATTGCTAACCCCACTGAGCCACTAGTATTTGCAGTATTTTGGTGGTGGTGACTCACAAGACAGCTATGAGGGCTCCTTAAGGGACTCTTGGAAGCCTTAGTGTAAGCAGCAGTCTCTTTTGGCCACAGCTGTAAGCCCTGAGCTTTGCATACATTTGAGAGCTCTCTCCCTCCCTCTTCCTTTGGCAGGTGTGTGCTTCTTTTCCAATAGTTCTTTCATTCTCTCTTTGTTTGCTGTTCTGTGCTCAGTAGCTTCTGTTCTGACGATGCTCACTGAGTACATTTTGAAAGTCAGGGAGATAGGAAGGGCCCCTTTTTATACTTATTAGGTGCATATTGGTTTGTACATTTGGGGTTCAAGAAAGCCAGATATTGTGTTCCTATAAACACTTGAGATTTTCATTGCCCATCCTCATTCAGGTTGCAACTGCAAATCCTTCTTATTATATAAACTCACAGGTCATTTCCATGTCAGTGGAGCAGTGACTCCAATCTGGGTTTTAGTCTGTATTCACTGAACTATGCAAGCTGCTGAAGTCTATTCTCCAAAATAGTTTCAGCACCTGGATAGCTTCTTTGCAGTTCAACCTAAAACTTGGCATGGATTTGCCACCCCGCTGGAATAGAAAGCACAATGAAAGGCCCAATTAAGACATGCAGAAGTTCAAGGTTAAGAGGCCCTATAACATTATCAGTATATATACACAGAGAGAGAGAGAGAGAAGGTTAAGAGGCCCTATGTATATATATGTATATATATATATGTATGTATATGTATATATATGTATGTATATATATATATATATAGAGAGAGAGAGAGAGAGAGAGAGAGAGAGAGAGAAATTCTGACAAAACTCAAAATGTGGTGTGTGCTTTTTTTATTTAGACATTTATCATAACTGAAAGTCATAAACACTAGGTTAATTAGCTCTAAGGGTGGCTTTTTGCCACCGCAAAAAGAAGCGGCATTTACCCACTCTTTTGGGGCAGTAAAAAGGAGGATCGAGGCCGAAGCATGTAGTTGCCACAGCCCCGATCCACCTCTCCCAGGGGCGGCACAGAACCACCCCTTATGGGCTGTCTGCATTGGCCCACTGTCTATGATTCTGAATACAATACACCAAGAACAGGCCAAACTGAGCAGGTTCACTAATCCCAGAGAACAGGAACAGCTTCATGAGTGGCTCCTTGCAAAGCATCCTTCCTTTTGGTTTAGTAGTCATCACTGACTTTCTATGGAGCTTGGAAATGGAAAGGTGTGCCATGACAGATACTTTTGAAATGATCCAAATTATCCAATTTGATCCAATGATCTAAATGATCCAATCCAAAGATAAGACACATTATTAGCTATACAGAATGTCAAAGCAGAATGTTTATTGTAGAGAGAGTTACACTGTGTTAAAAAGGAGGAAGGGGGGCAGTGAGAAAGGAGTTTAGCAGCACCTTTAAGACTAACTGTGGTGCTGTATTTAAAATTACAGCACTATATTTAAGACTACGGCACTATATAAATAATTAATAATACTAATAACTGATTTTTTTGTGTGTGAGCTTTCAGGGATATAAACCCACTTCTTTGGATGCTTTCAAGAGACTAACATGGCTACATCCTTGTAAAACACTGAGTTAAAAGAC